GGTGGGGTCCCGCCGCCGGCTCCGCGGCCGAGCTCGGGGAGCAGCCGCGCTGGGCTCGTCCGGGAAAGAGAAAATAAAATTTGGGGAGGTGAAGCCGTCAGGTGAGGCTGTGCTCGCACCCTTGCCTGTCCCGTCACGGCTGGTTGCAGGAGGTGGGTTCCCGGGTTTGTGGCTCAGCCTGAGGGTCGCTCGGTGTGACCCGGCTTTCCTAAAAATTCGAGAGGTCTGCCGGAGTCACCGGGGCTTTGGCAGAAAGCAATGGAGAGCGAAATCTTTGCCCCGTAAGGAATACTCTTTGACCTTTTTCAGAATTTAGTGATCCTTGCTTTTTTTTATCCCTTTGCTGTCCGTGCCTTTCGGCTTGGTGCCCGCGCTAGGTTTGCTATGTGTAATTTTGTTTGAGAAGCAGCATTCCCTCATAGCTTTTTGTCTTGTCTTTCAGGGAGGGAGTTGCTTTCCGGTAATAGTAAAGAAGCACGATACTGAATGAGAACGCACCAGCAGCATCCTCGTTAGTTGGAGCCTGACTCTTTCTGCTTAATGTTGGTTTCTTTGTCATCAGGTCTGCTAAAAAATGACAGAATATAAACTTGTTGTCGTTGGAGCTGGTGGTGTAGGCAAGAGCGCCTTGACAATACAGCTAATTCAGAATCACTTTGTGGATGAATATGACCCAACAATAGAGGTAAACAGTTTCACCTTATACTTTTTGTGCAGAGAGATTATCAGTAATAATGGCAGCTGATTGCATTTGGACATTTACCACAAAAACATAGAACAAGGCTTTGTAATGAAAAAGAGCTCAAAGATAATGGTTAGCATCGGACCAGCATTGGAGAGGAAATTGCTGTGCTTCTTGATCTGGCTGCAGAACAACAGCTACAGTAAAAAAATAATAGTTTTGATCAATTAAACTATATTATTAATTGCCATGTTTTGTTGGACAGTTTGGATGTATGTTTTTAGGATCTTAGTGACAAAGTATTTGCCAAACTCACTTGAAAATGCCTGGCGAAACTCTTCATGGCTTTGCATGCAGCCTCTTAAATGTAACTTTTCTTTTTGGTATCAAGGAAGAAAAATTTGTAGTTCTGAGATGTATGTGTCAAGCCTTCTCAGCTCCTATCATTAGGATCTGTTTCACATGGTGAGAAATGTGTTCTGGAATTTTATGGTGAATGAGGCAAAAATTTGGAGCCTGTTTGTGGTTTTTTTTGTTTATTGTTTTTGGTTTGGTGTTTTTTTTAAAAAAAAAAACCACATCAGTGTGAGTTTCCTTTTCTAGGAAGAAAGTTTTAAGATAGCTGCTGTAGTGGATTCTTTGCAATATGTGGTATAGTTCCTATGAATCTGAAATTGTACTTAAACTTTAAGAGTTGTGATATTTTGAAGGTTATTGATGAGCAGGCAAGGCCTGCCTTTTAAATATAAGAAAAATACCAGTGTTGTCTGAAGTCTACTGGGGATCATTGGATTTAATAACCTCAGACCGTATAGAAGGAGAAATGACACCATAATTTACCCAGGGTTTTTATGATCCCAGCACTGAAGCTCTGTAGCTTATGACTTCATTTATGTGTTTACACAAGGAGACACTTCCAAGCTCACTTGAAGGAATTGCAGGGCTTTAAATCTAGGCTTGAAATGGTGACTCGGAAAGTGGCTGTGTAGTCATTTTCAGGTAGACATAAGTGAAAGGAGCCAGTGCCCTGAGATGGTAGGAAGGTGTCTCTCTTTAGTGAAGTACAGGCCTGAGTTCATGTGCCCTAAATAGAAATGTGTTGGCTTGAGTGTACTTCAGTGTGCCTGTGTGTCGTCTTGGCTCCCTGTTGCATGGCCAAGTACCCTCGCGTATGCTTGTGGAAGGTTTTAGGAACAGACCTATGGAGAGGAAGAGTGACCTGCTCTAGGAGAGCAGGTCTTTTGATTGCTAAGATATGAAATCTTAAAACAACTACAGCCTCTATAACGTCTGTAAAAACCAGAAAACGCACAACTCACTGAGGGGAACAAGCAAAATGGGATTTTACTCTTTCCTGCAGAAGGAACTTTGGGGGATGTCGGTCTTTGTAGTACTCACTCATAATCTGTTTCTCTTAGGTTTGAGGTGTGTTTACACATTACAAAAAGTATTGTGGAGGTTCTGTGTTAGAAGTTGTCATATAAAGCCAGAATGGTGTAAACAGTTTAGGAACACAAAAAATTCAATGCCAGGACTCTTAGGTCACCTGAGGCGTTTTGCTAATCAACAAGCTGAGTATTTTGAGGAATACCAAATACATTTTAATGTAAAAAAATAAAATGAAAATACAGTTCCTTATAAGAAGAACCTAAAATCCCAGAACTGTGGCTTTGGTTTGGTAGTGTGCAGGATGACTGCACCACTGTGGTGTGGTCCAGAATCAGCATGTTCCTTCTGCATGAAAGGAATCACAGTCTTTTGGGTGGAAAAGACTTTTAAGACCAAGTCCTAGCACAGAATCTTGAACCTAATGGTTCACCAGCATCAGCAGCTTGTTCCATGCAGCATACTCATCTTCTGCAGTTCCCTGAAGTTCTTGTTTGAGCACCAGTTACCATTTTTGTCTTGTAAATTCTGAGAGCGTGAGGATGGAGACTGTATCTTCCTGCTCACGGTAAAGCGCCTTGTGTGCTCACAGTGCTATAGAGTGATCACATAGGTAAGCTCGTAGGGAAGAAATAATGCAGGTATAGTGAGAGTGGTCTGTGATTTGGAGTGGCAGACAGGTCCCAGAGAATGGGCTTGTGATTGGGTTTAAATGCTTCAATCCTTGCCTGGGCAGAAAACCCTTCGGTTGGGAAGGGTTGCGTCACCGTGCTTCTGTGTATGTGCAGCTGCGGTGCTAGGGGCTGATCAGACAGCAGTGGCTATGGAGTGGTTTTTGTGCAGTGTGAGGAAATAAAGCTAAAGTTGCTTTGGCTGGTAAATAATAACAGTTAAGGCTGTTTCACAGTGTCACTGCTATTGTTTCTCACTGACTACTGTTTCTTTCATTGCCATACGGCTGTTGCCAAAGTACTAATTTTACCTTCACAGATCAATAATCAAGCTAAATATTTTGGGGTAGGCAGAGAAAAGAGTTCAGTGTTTGTTAGCTACAATAGATTCCACAGCTACACAGCTACGGAATAATTGTAAATCTGTCCTGCGATTAACAAAATTAAACTCAACACTTGTAAAATTCTCATGTTGTAAAGATGCAATGTGGTTGAAAAGAGGAAAAAAATACACTAGTTACTTAATCACAGATGCATTTACAATGTTAATGTTGTTGCTTATTTCAGTGGAATAGACTTAATGATTCAACAAATGAGCTATTTGGAAAATGTCAAGTTTCATGGCCTGCTTTTATTATGCCTGAGCATAGCAGATGATGGGGAGCAGGGGGAGGAATTAAAATGAGTGCATGATCCTGTTATCCAAATATACGTACAAAATTATGAAACACACATAAAATATCTTATTTGAAGTAGATGTCCAAGCACAGATTTGTAGCAAAGCAATTTTAAGTGGATTTTTTTTAACTGTGTGCGCACTAACCCTTGTAAATCGGACCTAATACACAGACCAGTTGGACTAGTGCCCTCTACTGGTCGAGGCTTGTTAAAGCTTTATTTGCAATACCTTGTTTAATAACATAATTTTGAATTATTTTTTTTTAAGGCTGCAGCATGTATTAGTGCTGAATCTATGCCATATTTTACATGTCCTAGAGAAAGAAAGCCTTTCTAGCTGCCTGTCCTCCTTCAACTGGATTAGCAAAATCCCTTGACTGATTTAGGAATACTGGTATTTAAGTTGGTGTTCTTAAATGACCTATGTACCTGTGAAACTTCCACCAGTATTTAGTGATAGCTTAGTTGTAGTAGCTGTGTTATTGTGATATTAAGTTGCTGGTATAATGGATTTTTACAAGATAACAGTTACTTGCTTAGATGGGATTTATTAAGCAGTGGGGTTTTTTTTAGATAAATGCCACGTGTAGCATATAGCTGAAGTTTCCTGTCATATTTTCTAATTGGTGCTTGTGAACAGATGGAATTATTACTCCTTTAGCATAATTCCAGTTAATTTTTGTGGCTTGTGAAATGCCCGTAAAAGCAGGTTAAGTGATTAAGAAACTAAAACTTTTTGATATAGATATGCTGAGTCTGTATACTGGGGAAAAACTGCAAATTCATATTTGGTATTATCTACTACTCCAAATGAATTTGTAGGTTTTATTTTGTTTTTACTTAATAGCCTTATACTGGCTGTTTATTGTTTCTTCATTGCATTCATTGCTGCATAGCTTCCGATGTGCAATAAAGCTACTGCATTTTCTGTAAATTAGGAAATTTATAGAAATTATTGTCTATAATTTAGGAAACACTAAAATAGATTGGAAGGTTAGGTTTTTTTGGTTGTTGAAGGGGATCCTGGCCATTTGGGTTCTGCAGTTGCATTTTGAAGCAGAAGTGCCTCAAGTACTGTAGTGGCATAACTTTTCTTTTTGGTACATCTGACGTTGTTTTGTAGGACTTGATAATTTTTACAGTATGGTAAGATAAAAGCTGTTTGTTTATTTTTCCATTGGGATTCACCACGATGGGGCTGGGGGTCCCAGTAGCCTGAGCTTTTAATGTGGTGCTTCAGTTTTCTTTCCTATAGTGACAAACATGATTTCAGGTTTGATATTTTGTAGGGGAGGGGCAAAAAAAGCTAAGTGTTGATTATTTCAGTAGCTTAGAAGACAATAATTAGCTTGAAATTTCTCTCTCACGTCTTTCTTTTCCTTTTACCTCAAATCCCCTTTTTCTAGTTAGTGACAAAATTTTCTCTACAGAAGTTGGCAAAACAAATATCTCACAGCGCTCCTTCTTCTTGTGCCTGTGCTGGGCTTTATGCTGCTGCATCTTTGCTACTGCTGCTAACATGGTAGGCATCCTAAAGCCAGCAGCTCTTTAAAGTGATTTCCTTTTCTCTTAAAATTTACTTTCTTTGAAAATTACTTAAAAAGCTTTTGTTTAGAGCTCAGTTGAGGGGAATTTCATTTCCTTTGAAGTGCTAAGATGTAAAGGAATAATACAGGCTTTTCAAGAACCGTTTGGTATTTTCAAATTAGCAGTCACATTGCAAGAAGAGGAAATGGAAGCTTTGTAAATATGCCTACTATAATGATAGAAGGTCTGCTAGCACTTCACTGTGAACTGTAATGAAGAAGTATCATAGGACTTGGGAGATCTGCTATTGAATTTGGGTGCATTGGAATAAAGATGCATCCTTTGGGTTTTTTTTGGTGTGGGTTATTCCCCCCCCCCGTGAGCAATGAAATAGAATATGAACCCTATTTTAATACATGTTGGAGCTAGTGTATTTGTCTCAGCTGTATCAATATTTTAAGTATGGCTTATGTATTTCTAAAGTAAGTTATCTATTTCTTACTTGAATGCTGGATTTGCACTTCTGTGAAATAAATCTTTCCAAAATCATGCTGGAAGTAAACTTTTATCTTTAAGGTAAACAGTCATTATTGTTTTATCTGATACTGTTAAATGTCATTCAGGCTTAAGATAAATGTGAGATTGCAGAGTTTGTTTAGTCTTAAGATACTGATTCTATACAATTACTTCCTGCTTGTTTTTTAGCATAAGCAAGAGGAAAACAGAGAGCCTTTTGTGAAATTACAAATAGATAGAAAGTGTGCATGAGTAGGTGTACAGTGGCTTCAAATGGGTACAGAAGAAAGAAAGTCACTTGCTATTCATCTTGAAGTGGGCTAGAATTGCAACTTTAATTCCTTAATTCCCTTCCCAGTAGCTAAGGTCAGCTTCTGCATAGTGCTAAAAAGAACAGTAGCAATATTGTATTGATCTCTAGCTAAAGCATCTGAAAGGTAATACCAAGATTTTTGCCTTTATACCTTTTACTTGCTATGAGTACTGTTTACTAAGAATAATTCATGGCACTGCTCAATGACCTGTTTTTAAAGCTTATTGACACAGTTTCATTTTTAATATATAGATGTTTATAGAAAACAGAGTTCTCTGGAAAGTAGTGCTTATGTTATGTTATCACTAAAACTATGTACTCGTAGAAGCCTTGCACCAAAAAAGCTGTAAATAGGCATTAATATCTTGTTGCTTGGGCCTTTGTACAGATTTTAGCCATCTGAATCATTGACCTGGAAACTTTGAATTGATAGCACTGAAATAATTTGTTCCAACATCTCTGAACCCACCAGAGCTTTTATATGACTCTGTGCTGGTCTGTCATGGCTAAAGAGCTTGAACTTCAAATACATCAACTGAACTTTGATAACTTTGTAACAAATATGATTATATGCACCTGCTTAGGCATATAAAACAGGTTTCCTGTCCCAAACACCGAAGGCTTTTTATACATAATTTCCTTTTCAGTGGCATAGATTTTTGAAGTTGTTGTACTTCTGAACTTTCAGTTTTACTATTTTGTACATTGTTGTGGCACAGCACCTTTGTAAGCATCCATAGAATGAAGGTCAAATTTTACTTTAAAAAAAAAAAAAAAAGAAAAAAAAAGAAAAAAAAAGTAAATTGAGTAAACTTAAAGTCAACCTTTTTAAAACCAGGGTTACAAGTTTCTTCAATTCTTGTGTTAAAAGAGACAAAGGGGAGATGCTTTTGATCTGAATCCAGTTTGTACCTTTTTTCTTTTGTGCAAAATAAGAAATAAGAACACTGTTCTTTGTGTGTGTGTGTGTGCTCATACATGTCCTGTTACTTAAGATTCAGAATACAGATAAACATGTCCTTTCAGTGCTCTTTCTGCTTTGGGATGACTGTATGCATGTAAATATGGATCACTGTTTTCCTACTCTCATTTGCTCATCTGTAGAGTTGGATTATTAACTTCTAAGTGTTTTCAGTCATGCTTGATTACTGGTAAACAGCTTTAGTATCTCCTGAGTTGTATGTGTTTGAAATCTTGTTTGTGTTTAACCAAGATTTATGGGTTGCTTTTTTTCTTTTCTTAGGATTCCTACAGGAAGCAAGTAGTAATTGATGGAGAAACCTGTCTCTTGGATATTCTTGATACAGCAGGTCAAGAAGAATACAGTGCAATGAGGGACCAATATATGAGAACAGGGGAAGGCTTCCTGTGTGTATTTGCTATAAACAATACAAAGTCTTTTGAAGATATTCACCATTATAGGTGTGTGTTGAAAGATGAACAACTGACTCTTGTATTAGGTGGATAGGTTGCTTGTTCTTACACCAGATAATAGGATGACCTGGTCTGGAATAGCATCTAAGGGGAAATTTGCAAATTAGCAATATTGCAAATTGTTTGTGCATTTGTAGGTCTGTAACTTTGGATAATCTGAAAATCTGCTGCCTTGTTTGCAAGTTAGGTAGACAAAAGATCTGAAAGCTCTTCTGTTATAAACTAATGTGACTTAGTATTTCTGCCTGTTCATAGTGACTATCTAAAGGTGAGCTCTGCCCATTCCATAAATAAAATTGTCTTAAGATGGAAAAATGTAATGCAGTTGAAAATGTATAGACAGTAATGTCAGTTGTTAGCTTTTGTTCTGGGGGTGAAGGGGGAATACGTATGAAATGTTACTGAAAGACTAATGTGTGTGAGCCTTGGTCCCTAAGGAGGGGAGACACACACCAAGTTGGAGCTCCAGGATGACTGCTACCAAGTAACCTGTTACTAGTTTTCTCATGTTCTCTTTTTTTTACCCTTTTGTATAATTGAACTGAATATTATGAGTGTTGAGTACGAGAGATAAGTAGGAAGATTTATACCAAAGCTGATTAGGCTTGTTCTAGCATTAGCTGTTAAAAACTAAAAAAAAAAAAAAATTTAAAAAATCCCAAAAACGTAATGACATCAAAATCTATAGTAGTTTGCAAAATGCCAACCTCTTTTTTTCTCTTTGTTTTCTTTTAGTTATAAACTTGATGGTGACAAGATTGGTCAATTTATTTTTTTGATGGCTTCATAGATGATGGTAGGGCATAGTTGATGGATGGCATCATAGATGCTGGTAGGGCAGTGGATGTGGTAATGCAGTAAATGCAGTAAAGCATTTGACACCATCTCCCATAGCATCCTCATAGCTAAACTGAGGCAGTGTGGTCTGGATGATCGAGTAGTGAGGTGGATTGTGAACTGGTTGAAGGAAAGAAGTCAGAGAGTCGTGGTCAATGGGACAGAGTCTAGTTGGAGGCCTGTATCTAGTGGAGTTTCCCAGGGGTCTGTACTGGGACCAGTACTACTCAATATATTCATCAACAACCTGGACGGGGGAACAGAGTGCACTGTCAGCAAGTTTGCTGATGACACAAAACTGGGAGGAGTGGCTGACACTCCAGAAGGCTGTGCTGCCATTCAGTGAGACCTGGCCAGCCTGGAGAGTTGGGCAGAGAGAAACTTAATGAAATTCAACAAGGGCAAGTGTAGGGTCTTGCATCTGGGGAAGAACAACCCCATGTATCAGTGCAGGATGGGGACTGACCTGTTGAGGAATAGCACAGCAGAAAGGGACCTGGGGATGTTGGTGGACAGCAGGATGACCATGAGCCAGCAATGTGCCCTTGCAGCCAAGAAGGCCAATGGCATCCTGGGGTGTATCAGAAGGGTCAGTAGGTCGAGAGAGGTTCTCCTCCCCCTCTACTCTGCCCTGGTGAGACCGCATCTGGAATATTGTGTTCAGTTCTGGGCCCCGCAGTTCAAGAAGGACAGGGCATTGCTTGAAAGAGTCCAGCACAGAGCCACAAAGATGATTGAGGGAGTGGAACATCTCTCTTATGAGGAGCGGCTGAGGGAGCCGAGTCTCTTTAGCTTGGAGAAGAGGACACTGAGGGGTGACCTCATTAATGTTTATAAATTTGTAAAGGGCGAGTGTCAGGGGGAAGGAGCCAGGCTCTTCTCAGTGACAGCCAGTGACAGGACAAGGGGCAATGGGAGCAAGCTGGAGCATAGGAGGTTCAATCTGAACATGAGGAAAAACTTTTTTACTGTAAGGGTGACAGAGCACTGGACCAGGCTGCCCAGAGAGGTTGTGGAGTCTCCTTCTCTGGAGACATTCAAAACCCGCCTGGACGCGTTCCTGTGTGACCTAGTCTAGGTGATCCTGCTCTGGCAGGGGGGTTGGACTGGATGGTCTTTCGACGTCCCTTCCAACTCCTAAGATTCTGTGATTCTAATAGTATATGTGCAGTAAATTAACATAAAGAATGATGCTGGAATTTGTTAATTTAATTTTGTTTCATTGATTTAAAATCTACCCTATAAACTATGAATATTAATATCTGTACATAAAGTATGGTTGTTTTTTTTTTTTCTTTTTAGGGAACAAATAAAGAGAGTTAAAGACTCTGAAGATGTCCCAATGGTGCTAGTGGGAAACAAATGTGATTTGCCTTCCAGAACAGTAGATACAAAACAAGCTCAGGATTTAGCAAGAAGTTATGGAATTCCTTTCATTGAAACATCAGCAAAGACAAGACAGGTAAAGCTCAAAATGTACTGGACACAAATGTAGAACTCTCATCTGAATTACCGACATGGTAGTTGTAGGCATTGAGAATTGCTTGGTTGTATCAATAGATACATTTCTCCAGAGCAGAAATTCTTCTGGTGTCTCTTCTTTCTGTCAGCTCACTGACAACTGGAAATTGTTTGCTAATGAGTGATTTGCTTCAGTTGCACAAACCCAAAGAATGAGCCCTGGCTTGCTATTACTCTCCACTGTCTGATGATTTTGGCATTCTTTATGTTGTGATAGGTTCTAATAGAATAAAAAGCACTTCTACTTGGAGGTGAAATGCTTTTTTCTTCCGCAAGAGGATTAAGCAGACAAACAGCTAATTAGTTTATTCTGTTTTAAGTCTTTTCATTAATAACAAAAGGAATTTTTCTGTGAGGCATTGATTCAGCATTAGTGGGACATGCTTGATACGCCTTCTCATAGCTAAGCAATTGACCATAAGTCTTTTTTGAAATTAGTGGATTGTTTGTGTAAACTGATGCTCTTCTTTCAGAGATCATTGTTTGTTTATTGTACTTCACTGGTACAGGTAAAAGAAGTGGCATTCGGGTCCTTTCGGAGTTTGCTGGGATAAAGGTGCACATAGTGGTACATCTGTGCATTCAGGAGAAGATAGGGTACACAGGTATAGGTGAATCTGGTTTTGAACTTCTGGAAGTAAGCATTCTTTTTGAAAAATGCTGATTTGTGGGGTTTTTTTTAAGAGTAAAGACTTGCTGTCAGTACAAATTAGATCAGGCCTGAGTGACCGAATAACTTACTCTCTGCATAATCAGAAGTGTTGCTGGTGAGTTATGAATTGGGAATTAGGTGTAGGAGAAGGAGGCAAACAAGAGGAGAATACTGCAGTTTGAGTAACTACTCAGTGTCACTTCTAAATAGATTCAGCTATTGGCAGAACTTCCTCATAGACAGTACATAATCTAATTTTGGTTATAAGAAATGAATGTTTTATTAGTGCAAATTTTCTGTACCCACCCACCATTTCTGACATGTTGAAACGTGGACTAATTAGTAAAAGTTTATGGAGGAATCAAAGGAATGCTAACTTTTGGCAATACAGAAAGTCTCTGTTAGGTAGGATTAAAAAAAAAAAGGCCCACAAAAAACTACACAAGTTTAATGGCCGAGAATAAATGAGGCCACAAGAGCGTTCTGAAGAATGTGGCATGTAAGCGGACTGCATAATTACAGTGCTCTTGTTTGGAAGGTCCTGTATTAGTGGCTGCCATTGAGATGTTAGGATAAGAATGGAAGAACTCTGAAATTGTTTGACGTTTGAAATAATAGGAGTTATGTACGAATGTCCTGATTTTACTTTGTTCAACCTGTTACATAGAGTGTCAGACTTTGTTTAGGAAGTATTCCTTTTGCGTGGCCACTTCTAATGAAGCTGTGTTGATACGGTGGTGTATTTTCAAAGATTTCATCTTCCCACCAGTTTACTCACACAAGCAGCCCCATCGTGCTAGTCAGTACAAAATCACATGCTCAAAAATCACCACTCCTGTTCAGTTTTATAGTCTTTGTTTACACAGAGGAGTATCTGCCTTTTTTGTCTTTCAGACTTGTAAGAGGTCTGCTGGAGGTTTGTACTTGTTTCAGAGGACAATAGATCAGTCATACGTGCACTGTCATTCTATAATTTGACTGCTTCTATCTGTGACTTAATGTTTCTGGAGGTGCCAACTGAAATGTTATAGAAGGGATCTGACTGGCTTTTGCTTTTCAAAGCTGAGCTTTGCACCCTATACAGATAAGGAGTCCCAAAAGGTGTCTCACGGATTTTGCAATAAAAATGCCCAGCAGACTCTTCGAGAATGTTGGCAGTAGGTATGGCTGCTGATTCTTTTGCAGTGCTGTTCATAACATGTTGTGTTATGGAACTGATCCATAAGAAGCTGTGTTAATAAAGTATTTTTGAGAAGACAAAAGGGAATTGAAGGAAGAACCCCATCTTTCATTACAACAAGATCATCTAAATACTAGTGTGGTTGTGTATACATACGCATTCACACTGTCATATATAAAAAACATATGCATATATATTTATATATGTACACACACATACACACCTTCTTCCAAAGTAACTTTTTAAGTTAGGAGATTCAAACCATTTCACGATCTGCATGTGGCAGAATTCAGTCCTTGACTAAAATCAATCAATAAAAATCTGGTCCTCTCTGGTTACATGCAGAACTCAGGAGTATGAACAAATGTAGCTGGCAGTCTGGTCTGTAGGAAGTCTGATACGAATACTTAGAAGTAGGAACCTTCTTTCTCTTTCCTGTACGCACTTGCCACCACACTGAAACATCAGCACTGCTGTGCTATTGAAGGGGCCCTCACCATCTTACCCCTTCAGCACTTCCCCGTGCCCCACGTCTGCTGGAGCTCAGAGAGAACCAGAAACATTTATGGAGAAGGACACGGGGGAGATGGAAATGGAAAGGAATTATCTGTGTAGTCTGTTTTGACTGCCAAGACACTTGTTTAAAATTAAGGCGTTGCATGCTCATGCAGAATGGTATCTCATGTTCAACTAACTTTTTAAGATTTTTCAGAAATTCATAGACAAGATCAAACATAGGAAAGATAAAAACTGAAATTAAGTGCAGAAGTAAGTTGTTCTAAAAGTTAGTGTGTTTTATTTGGTTCTGACTGGCAGTAGAGATGCAACCATTAACTTATTTCAAAAAGTTCCTGTGTTAAGCCAAATATCCGTGTGAATTTTCATACAAATCATTGAGTTCATCAGTGAAACATTTGCTTAGTGGACCCTACAACTTGGGTATAAAGCTATAGATTATTTTTTTTTTAATTAGACCACTGACTGAAATGAATAAAATGTAACTTACGAAAAATTGTGATAGTCCTATTTCTAAATGTAACTGTGTGTCAGTGCTGGTGGTTTTGTAAGGCGTGTTGCATCACTTGTACTCATCCTTTCACAATCCTTATGCAGAAGGGTATGAATTTCTTACGCTTATTTTGAGAGCTGTTTTTGCTTTTCTCTATTTGACGTAAGCTTTAAATTCAAATCCTTCCCTGTCCATGTTTCAACTGCCCTGCTAGCTTTGAATTTAAAGGAAAATCAGGTATATGGGCATTTTTGTAAGGATTCCCCAAAGTGTTAGGTCTTGATGTTGAGAATATCTCCTTAAACACCCTTTTGAAGTGTTGAATGAAGAAGTTGACCTAGATCATAAGGATGCTCTTAAAAAAGCATAGAGTAATTTCAGCTGTCTGATGTACAATAGGTTAGGCCCCAAACTTGTGACAAAAATAAATTGAGAACCTGTGCCTGGTCTGATGAATTAATCGGTGCAGTGTCTACACAATTTCATTCTTAGGTCTCAACTAAGATTGATGGATAACTGATAATTTAGACAGTTTTCTTGAACCGACATGAACTTTTTTAGGCATTTGTTGTATCCGTTTAGTGATACTGTATGTGTTTCACTCCAAGCCATTTTTAATGTCATTCATATGTGCAGGTTCCACTTTACAACTTTGTTTTCAATTATAACTTTCTCAGACTTAATGGTGTGGGTTGAGGTTTTTTTCATGTCACTTGTCTGTTGTAAGGTAAAACTCTTTCAAAAACGTTTAGTCCTTCCCAAGGGAAAAAAAAAGTTTTCATAATGTTGAAACAAATTCTGGCATCCGTCTTGTGTGCTCAGTGACTCCAGGATGCTGAGGAAACAGGCTTGTTATTTATCTAACGTAAAGATAAATTGGTGCAGCAAAAAAGGGATACGTGTGCACAACAGGTGAAATTTAGGTAGGACAGACAGCTGTAATTCTGGCACTTCTTAACTTTGGAGTGATTAACTTTGTAGCTTTAATGATGATTTTATGCAATACTTAGTATGAATTTACTGATGTATGTCTGATATTTAACCATCATAGATAACATGACCAGCTTAACTCCCCCTCTCTCCATAAGCTAGTGTAGGTTATGCATGTGGCTGAGTTGTAGTAACTGCTTCCAAACAGCCCTTTCAGGTGTGTCTGTTTTGGAGACAGACAAAAAAATTAAAATAAATAGCCTTAACCTGTAAGCTGAATGCCACATGAGACAGTGGATTTTTGCAGGTTTGCATATTCTTCAGCATTGGCTAAGATGACTTTGCCACTACAAAGTTTAATGTTGGGAGGGCTTTTATGCAAGTGAGTGGCATTCTCCTTGGCTGTCTCCTAGGAGTTGAAAGCATCCTGAAAATGTTGCCTCAAGGTCATGGGTTCTTTGGGCTGTTAAAGCAAATAGCAGTTTAGATTTGGCAGTTTTTAAAGGATATTTTTGCTTCCAGTTTTGACAGTTAACAGAACCGGTTGATCATATTTTAGATACAGCTGTCTATGCTCATTTAAGGGAAAAATAATGAAGAATCTTAAAATAATTTGGTATTAAAATGACTTCTTAAGTTTATAAGACTGGCACCTGACTCTTAAAAAATGCCACCTTGTGCTAATGCAATTAGCAAACGTCTCTGTACAGATTTTATTTCAGA